GGGAGGCTGAGGCAGGAGGATCGCTTGAGCCCAGGAGTTTGAGGTTGCTGTGAGCTAGGCTGACGCCACGGCACTCTAGCCCGGGCAACACAGCGAGATCCTGTCTCAAAAAAAAAAAAAATGCTTGGGACCAGAAGTATTTCGGATTTTTTTCAATTTTGGAATATTTGCATTATATACTTACTCGTTGAGCATTCCTAATCCTAAGATCCGAAATCTGAAATGCTCCAATGAGCATTTCCTTTGAGTATCAGGTTGTCACTCAAAAAATTTTGGATTTTGTAGCATTTTGAATTTCGGATTTTTGGATTAAGGACACTCGACCTGTGTAAGAACACATTAATCTAACATCCCGAGAAGGATTGCCTCTCCCAGGAAGTGGACAGCACAATTACGAAGAAAAATGATAAAGTCAAGTCATGGATACATACACATGTACACACCATACACACGCACAAACATACACACACATAAACCAACCTAGCCAGGGAAGGGTGAGGCCTTCTCAATTGTCTCTGTACCCCAGGCCCGGGAACAACGATTGGACTGGAAGCCTTGGTGTCCGCCAGAATCGGCAGGAAAACTTTTTGAAAATGCAAAGTCCCAAGCAACTCCCCCTACACACACACACATACACACGCTGTGATTCAGTAGATCTAGGATGGGACTTGGAATCTGCATCATTATCAAGCCCACATGATTCTGATGCCAGTGGACCCTGGATCCCCAAAGGAGAAACCCTGTGCTGACCAAGGCCAGGCCCCATAGTAGGCCCTTAGGAAAAGCTGAAATGGTAAGTCAGTCTAATGATCTGCGTCACAAACATATACTGAGACTCTAATGAGTGACAGGCACAAAATGCTTGTGCAAAACACTGAGACGTATAATAAAAAAATAATGGAGAAGCAGCCCTTCTGCCATCAAAGCTCACAAGCTTCATGGTAGCACAGATCTATAAACACTTGACTACAGTACAATGTAATACACACACTCACCCGGATAACAAATCCTTACTGAGCACCTTCCAGATGCTTCCAGGCACTACAGATATATCAGTAAACAAGACAGCAAAACATCCCTGCCTGCACAGAGCTGACATGATAGTGACAGGAGACAGATAACAGACAAAATAAAAAAGCATAATGTATAGTCTGTTAGGTGGTGATAAGTGTTATGGAGAAAGACTAAGCAAAGAAGGAAGGGATACGGGGGTGTCATTTTAAATCTGCACCAGTTTCAAATAATCCCCGTAGCTCTATTCAACACAGCTCTACATGCTTTGCTCGTAGCTGTTAAAGTTTCACAGAAGAACATGGGTATGAAAGGACAGACAAGGGAATGACTGACTCAGCTGGGTGGGTTGGGGTGAGAGGGTTGGGGACAAGGATGGTTTCCAGGATGAGATGAATGCTGAGTAAGTAAGTTCCCTTCCCTTTCCTTCCCATGCAGGAATGTTCCTCCTGCCGCTCTGAGGGCTGCAGAGCGTGAATCAGTTCTGACTGACTTCGCAAAGCATTTCCAGCAAGGACTGGACGCCTGTGTGTCTCTTACCTTTGCCAAAACGTATGTGTCTCCTTCCAGCTCACGTTATAAGCTTACGCAATTCTATCAGCCTTTCCTGGGTCGTGAATGTCAATGGCAATCTTTAGGACTTTTTTTTAATCATAAAAGGAACATATGATCACAGTAAAAAACATGAAAAATACCAGATAGCATAAAGATTCCCAATATTCTTACTCCCAACACTACCTCTGTTCACATTTTGGTGTGTTTTTTTGACAGAGTTGTTGTTTAACATAGCTGGGACCACACTGCATCTGTATTATTTTGTATCCTGCTCTTTTTATTTTTACAACATATGCATTTTCACTATATGTATAATTTTTAATTACTATATATGCATTTTTCTGTGTAAAACAAATCTATATGAACATCATTTTTAACAGCTATATAACATTCCATCCGATTGACATACTATATTAACCATTTCCCAATTGTTGGGCATTTAGGTTTCCAAGTTTTCATAATTATAAATTACACTGAAAATAACTTTATACAGAAAGGTATTTCAAGTAGTTCCCTAAGAATAGACTCCTAGAAGGAGAACTACGGGAAACCGGAAATGTGTTAGACAAGTAGTAACTGCACACATGATCCACGGTTGGCCCAGATTTAACCACCGCACCTCCCGGCTGCAGAGGCAGAACACAGAAGCTGGCCATCTTTCTCCACCTTTTCAGTCTTAATGGTAAATGGTTTCAGAAGCGACATATTTACCTGCTGTCAGAATCTGAGGCGATCTCCTTTCTCCCTCCAAAGCGGATCTGGCACTGCACAGAAAAAGAAGCTGCTGAGATCAGCTGTTGGGATGGCACAGAAAACATCACAAAACAGCCTGTGTGGGCCTTCGGGGTCAGGAGGGGTACACGGGGGCCAGAAACTCCAGGATCAGCGCATCCCTGTGCTCTGGGTGTCAGCACAAGACTTAAGGAGGTGGACACCCCGGCCTTCAGGCTGCCAGTTAAAGGAAACCTTTATCTCCCACTTGCACAGAAGCGAGCCTTGTGGGAAAACAATGCTAACAGGAAAACAAATGCACACAGCGTCTGCACGTGGTCTAGGAAGCTGCACCTATCTGTCAGCAGCTGACTCTCTGTAACACAGAGCTCTTAACAGGCAATAATTAAAACTGCCACAAATCGACGATGACAGTTCCCGTTGACAGAGCCCCAAAGTTGTTATGACTGGGTATAAAACTACAACAGCATAAATCAAGCTTCAAACAAGTCATCTGGCTGTGCTGAATGACATTTTACTCAGGGTGGGTAAAAACCAAAGCAAACTACTCTCTTTTTCTTTTTTCAAAATTGTGGTAAAATATAGAATATGAAGTTTGCCATTGTAACCATTTTCAGGTATAAAATTCAATTCACAATGCTGTGTAACCATCCCACCACTATTCACTGCTCTCTTTTAGAAGTATAGAATCTCTGCTATGGCTAGGAGGCTTACAAGATTCCTAAACATATTACCAAAACCTGCGCGCGTGCGCATGTGTGTGTGTGTGTGTGTGTGTGTATAAAAATGACACATCTGTCAAAACACATTAAACTGTATACTTAATGGTATATTTTATTATATGCAAATTATATGTCAACAAAGGTTATTTTTGAAAGACATATACAATACTTTAACCCCCACCAAAATAATAGTAACAGCAGATGCTCTGGGCATAAGCTCCAATTTATTTCTCTAAAATGCTACAAATAAAGTAGCTCAACTTGCCTCCTCATCTCCTTGTTATATTTTCCATTTCTGGAGCGAAGAACAAGCAAACTAAAAACATGGGCCCCATATTTATTATGGACCAGGCTCTGCCCAGGCCCTTTACCTACCTTAACAATCTGATTCCCTCCGCAGCCCCGTGGAGATATGTGACCCGATTACAGGGGAGGAGAGGAGAAGAGCACACTCGGCTGGAGAGATGAAGCTAGTATTCAACTCAGCTATGTCGGAGCCCAAAGCCTTTCCAGGCCTGGGCAGATGCTAAATTCTCTGGGCTCGCTTCAACACTTAACGCACACCCATATTAAAGTACTTACCTCCCTATACTATAATTATATACACATAATTGTCAGTTGCCCCTTCCCAAAAGTGAGCTCCTAGAATTCCCAGGTTTGGATCCTGGCTCTGCCACTTACTGACTATGACGCCTTGAGCAAGTTATTGGGCCTCTCTGAGCTTCAGTCCATTCATCTGTAAAATGAAACTAATTGCAGGAACTATCTCACAGGGTGGTTGAAAGGATTAAATGTAAAGCACTCACAGAGAGCCTGGCACACAGTGAATGTGCCATAAATGACAGCTAACAGTAGGTGCATCTGGCACACTCAGGCGAGCACACTGATTCCAGTCTCGAGTCCAAGCTCACTTTCAAGCTCAGCCATAGCCGGGCACCGGAAACAGCACCAACCGATCACAGCGGAGGCCACCTGGAGGGGCCACACAGCTGCTGGCAGCAACAGAGGATCCGGGGCATGGCCTCGTTCCTCTTCTTGTGCTCATGGGTCCTGACTCCAAACCACCACCTCTGCACCCTAAGAGTTGCCCTAAAACACAACTGCTTGGAAATGAGACTTTGAAACCCACATCAATGCCCTTCTTAAAGCGACATCACTGAAGGGTGGGGTCCTCCAGAGGGCTTAGGAAATTCAAGATAGAGGAACTCCTCCATCCCAACTCCGACCATACTCCCTGCTCTGTTATTTCCTGGGGGAAACTATTATGTAGCTTCACTATTCCCAGATACAAAGTGGGAGTAAGTCTGTGTCTATAAAAGGGAAGAAATGACTTCTACATTAATTACTTGACACTATTACTCAGCCCAAGAGGCAAACGTATGCTTTCCTCTTACCTGTTTCACTGCATCCAGCAGTCGCTCCAGCAGAAATTGTCTTTTGTCATTGTTCTGTGATCCTAAAATGCAATGAGGCTTAATTAGTTCTCCTCGAGTTAGCCTTCCATTAAGACTTCTGACATCATGGTACATTTTGGTACACTGAGTTGCTGTCCCTAACTAGGATCAGTCCTTTGCTACTGATTTTTAACAAAATCAACAGGATGACCAGTACCAATAATCCATATCATTATGATGAAGTTTGACCATTTGCCTATTACTGCATCACAGGAAAACAGCTAAACTAATTTTCCCCAAATGTGAAGAACACATCCAGAATGCTCTAACTAAGGCTTTCTCAACCACGGCACTATTGACATTGTAGGATGGTTAGCAACATCCCTGGCCTCTATCCACTAAATGCCATTAGCACACACATACCCCTGAGTTGTAACAACGAAAATGTCTCCAGATATTATCAAATGTCCCCCGGGGAGCAAAACCACCCCCAGTTGACAACCAGCAGTCTAAAATAAAACATAAGTTTAACCAGCGTAGCAGGCACTGCTTGCTAGCTGATCTCACCATCACCTCCAACATCCTTTTCCCAAGCCACCTTCAGCAATTCAAGCTGAAAAACCTAATTACTCCTTTTCTCAGCAGCCGAGGCTGACCTTAAGAAGTTTGGCCAATAAAAAGAAAGCAGGAGTGCACTAGGAGATCTATGGGAAAGTTAGGCCTTTTTGATATAAAGAAGAGCTATGAAGACCTATGAAGGGCATCATTCCTTCCTCATCCTCCACTCCTTAATCATAAACCTGTTGGGTGAGGCCAGAGTAGCATTTGCCACCATGACGCCATGTGCCTGAGGGACAGGCCTGGAGAATCACAAGACACCAGCCCTGATATCCCTGAGTTGCTAAACCAAGACTATAAACAACCTAACCGTCACAAAATAAATAACCCCATTTGTTCAAACCACTGGACACTGGACTGTTACTTGCCACCAAAAGCATTCCAACCTGATACACATGACATGTGCTGAACTCCCACTGAAGGTCTGGGGCAAGGGCACTTCAGAGTACCAGGCGGACAGTTGTCAGAGCTACAACTGATGCTCTGCGAGAAGCCCAGTGACTCCGATCAGCAGAAATGCGGCTCTGTTATATTTGATTATGATGCACCAGACACAAAGCACAGACATTTCAAAGGACAGTCAAATTCAAAGTCACAAGAGCAGATGCTGCACACCACAGGCATTGAATTGCCATCAAGCTGCTTCCCTCTAGAGCAACTACACGAGGGCAGCACCAGGCCGTAGCAGCAGGACATGATCTCAGAGGCAGTCAGTGATTCCTCCAAGTCAAGCCAGGGCCAGTCCGTGGATAACAACGGCCACCATGTGCTGGGTCCTTCCCAGAAGCTGAGCTCTCTGCACGTATCATCTCCTCCGATCCTCACGACCACCCTACAAGCCTACATAACATAGATGGGGAAGATGAAGCTCAGAGAAGTCAAGTAACTGTGTGCTTTGATCCACTCAGGATTTATTTAACTTCTACTATGTGCCAGGCGACATTCTAAGTGCTGGGACACAGGAGTTAAATGGTATAAAAGAGCCATCTTTTCGTGGAGCTAAAATTCTATTAGAAAGAAACAAATAGTGTGTAAGTAAACTAATCAATGAATTGGTGTTAGAGAGACATACTAGGAATAAAAACAAGAGTGGTAAGATAGGGGAGAAGCAAGAAGGCCGCTTCACCCAAGGTGGCCCCTGGGGGCCTCTCTGCAAGGTGACATGTGAGCTGAGCCCCTCATAAAGACAAGGAGCAGCTATGCAAGGATACAGCAGGCCAGTGCTCCAGGCAGGGCAAACAGCGAGGGGAGAGGTTCAGAGGCAGGACACGGGTTGCTCTGGTCTTCCAGGACTAGAAGGAAGTCTATGGTGACTTGAGCGAAAAGCAAAACAGGGGAAGGGAAGAACAGGCGGGCAGGCACACAGGGTCATGTGGACCATGATCAAGGGTTCAGATTCTGTTCAAATTTGAATACTATTATAACTGGTAGAACTGTGATCCTGACTGAGGACCAGGCCACTCTAAAGCCCATGTTAACACCACGATACCAAGGATCCTGCCGTACTCCAGGCCTGGCAATGAATACTCCGAGATACTCGGAGATACTCTGAGACACAAACACAGTAAAACAACCACTCCTCGAATATTACCATTATTTTGTTTTCTGGAAGAGGTTTCAATAAAGGACAGCCTACACACCACTCCCACCAGATGTGAGGCTGTCATGAAGTGTCATTCAGGATAGTTACAGATCCCACCTGCCCACGGCCCTCCAGCACCTCTCTTGATACCTGTGTCTATCAACAAACCCTGCTCTTTGTTTAGCAGGAGGTTTGGTTTCTGTTCTTTCCTAACCTAAAAGGCTTGCTTTCTTCCTTTTTTCAAGCACTAGACCCAAAAATCCTACTTGCCCTTGGCCAATGCCAATTGGAAACTTAACAAGGTTTCCCCCCTGGAAATGTCTCTACTATTTTTTCTCATCATAAAAGTAATTCAGGTGAAAAAAATAATAACAAATCAGGATAAAGTGTACAAAGAAAATAAAAATCTCCATCATCTCACTACTGATCTTTTTTTAATGCAGTGCTTCTCAAATTGTAATGTGCCCAGAGATCCCCTGGGGATCTGGTTAAAAGGCAGGTTCTGATTCAGAAGGTTGAGGGCGGGGCCTGAGACTCTATGTCTCACAAGCTCCTAGGTGACGCTGACACTGCTGGTTCCTGACCCACACTTGAATAGCAAGGGTTTAGCACCTACTCTTCCTGATATGCGCAATGATCCTAGACATTCTCTATGGTATTTAGCTGTACTGCTTGCTCTAGATGAGATGTCAGCAGCCTCCTCTGCCTTATTCTGCAAAGCCTCTTTTCATGATGGGGAAAAAAGACTGTTCTCTATGTAAAACAACCTGAGGTTGTGCAGGTCTCAACCCGGGGCTCACGCTCCCTGGCTGTGATCTCTCTCCGCAGGCAAGAAGCGCTTGAGTGAGACATCGTGACCTCACGAGGGGCACCTGTGTCCATCTTGCCCCTGAACAGGGCTTGAGAAAATAGAGTCTCGCAGGATGCAGGGAGCACAGGTAGCCTCAGGGCCACTCATCAACTGCACGAGGTGCCCGGAGAGGCCTCTGGCCATAAGGAACACTGCGCGGTAAGTCACAAGGCATGACTTCTCATCCTGGCCGGGCTGCTTGCTAGCCATGTGAGAGGGACAGTCACTTCCCTTGTCCGGGCACTGGTTTCTGTATGAGATCATGCCCTCCTAGCTCTGCAGTCTGTGAATGTGGGAACTCTGCAGAGAAAGGCAGGCAGAGTAATCAATGCTATCGCTCTTTCCTACCTTCTCCCAGTGACAAAGAGGAGAATACAGCACCCCCACCAGGGCCCAGAAGAATCCTTCAAATGCTGCATCCACCCAGAGAGGCGCAGTGAATTGATGCCCACCTACTGGGTCTCTAGTTGGGACTTAGTTGGGCTAAGTTATTAAATGACTGACCCATTTAATCCTTGACAAAGAAGGAAAAGTGGCTCCGTTCAACAGAGAGAACTGAGGCCCAGAGAGGAAAAGACCTTTGCCCAAGGCTAGACCCACGGGAGGCAGTGGAAGAGATTCAATTCCAAGTCCACTGGCTCCTGGCTCTGCCTTCTGCTAAATCCTGCTCAACTTTGACTTCTACAACAAACCCACAGCAACAGCCCACTGCAAATTCAGGAGCTATTTCTTGGTGACACACGAGTGACCAAACTCCAGCCTTCCTGCTTCCTCTCTTCTCCAAGGGCAGCCCCCAGCCAATACCGTGAACCAGGCGAGCCAGAACAGACTCCTGTTTCAATTTCTTGTTAGATCACCATCACAATGAAAATAGAAACTGTAATGGCACCCCAGGGAATATCCCACCCTGGGGTCCCCAAACGTGTCTGAGAAATGTAATTATCCCCTAACTCCCTAACTCAGAAACCACACCTGCATGTGAAAATCAGTCACGTGGTTCAGGCATATTCCTGTTGTCTTTGTCTTTAATGTTCACAATCCTCAGGATCTAATGTTTAATTTAATGTTTGGATCCTTAGGGTCCTACTGTAATGTTTACCACGAACCTCTAGCCTTCCACTTGGGGTCTCCCCTCAAGCTACAGTGGCCTCCTGGGGAGAGAGCAGAAGGTAAGAATGGAGCAGGGGATGGAATCCTACTCCAACAGCCATACGATCACGGCAGGTTACTTAACCTCTCTGCTTCAGGCTCCTCATCGGAGAAGCTACCTCTTAGGATCATTAATGAGTGAACGTATTTGGCGCACCTAGAACCGTGCCTGGTGTGAGGGAGAAAAGAAAAAGAAGGCAACGTTCTCTGGGTGCCCACTGTGTGCAAGGAGTTCTGCCCAAGGTCACACGGCAAGGCAAGTGCTGCACTGGAGGCTGACTCTGGAAGGCAAGTGTTCCTTCCATCACCCCACACTGCCATCCCGCCGGGCGCCCAGGAGAGGCTTACTGAAAAAGCAGGAACATGAGCCGTGCTTTCAAAAATGAGAACCAGAACAGGCAAATCCATGGAGATAACACAGATAGGTGACAACTGCTTCATGGCTACAGGGTTTCCTTTGGGTTGGAAGTAGATAGAGGCGGTGGTTGCACAATAATGCAAATGCACTAAATGCCACTGAATTGATCACTAAACCATGGTTAATACTATGTTATGTGAGTTTCACCTCAATAAAAAAATATTTTTGGGCCGGGCGCGGTGGCTCACACCTGTAATCCTAGCACTCTGGGAGGCCAAGGCAAGAGGATTGCTTGAGCTCAGGAGTTCAAGACCAGCCTGAGCAAAGAGCGAGACCCCATCTCTACTAAAAATACAAAGAAATTAGCCAAACAACTAAAAATAGAAAAAATTAGCCGGGCATGGTGGTGCGTGCCTGTGGTCCCAGCTACCTGGGAGGCTGAGGCAGGAGGATCGCTTGAGCCCAGGAGTTTGAGGTTGCTGTGAGCTAGGCTGGTACCATGGCA